TCTTCTTTTGAAAAATATCTGTTCATGTCTTTTGCCCACTTTTTAATTGCATTATTTTTTTTATTGCTGATTTGTTTGAGTTCTTTGTAGATTCTGGATATTAGCCCTTGGTCAGATGCACAGTTTGTGAACATTTTCTCCCATTCTATTGGTTGTCTATTTAGTCTATTGATTATTTCCTTTGCTGTGAAGAAACTTTTTAGTTTATGTCCTATTTATTTATTTTTATTTTTGTTATATTTGCTTTGGAGGACTTAGTCATAAATTCTTTGTCTAGACCAAGGTCCAGGAGAGTTTTCCATACATTTTCTTCTGGAATTTTTATGGTTTTGGGTCTTACATTTAAGTCTTTAATCCATCTTGAGTTAATTTTTGTATATGATGAGAGATAGGGATACAGTTTCATTCTTCTGCTGTGGCACAGAATGAAAATGTGGCACATTTTTCAGCACCATTTATTGAATAGGGCATCCTTTCCCCATGTATGTCTTTGTCTACTTTGTCAAAAATCAGCAGGTTGTAGCTATATGGCTTTATTCCTGGGTTCTCTATTCTGTTTCATTGGTCTATGTGTCTCTCTTTAAATTAGTACCATGCTGTTTTGCTTACCATCATAGCCTTCCAGTATAATTTGAAGTCAGGTAATGTGATGCCTCCAGATTTGTTCTTTTTGCTTAGGATTGTTTAGGCTATTTGGGCTCTTTTTTGATTCCATATGAAGTTTAGGATTTTTTTTATTACTCTTCAGCGGTAATATGACTTTTTTTATTCTGAATAATTTTTAAATATTCTCTTTGCTTTTGGTTTTTAGCATGTTACTATGATGTGCCTAGGTGTGGTTTGCTCTGCTAATACTGTCTTAGGGTTTTCAGTACTTCTTGAGTCTATGGGTGAATGAATTTCATCAATTTTGGGAAATTCTTAGGTTGTCTATTCCAATGGCTTCTAGTTCACTCTTGTCTTCTCCTCTCTGGGACTTTAATTATATGTGTGTTAGGCTGTTTTAGCAAGTCACACATATCCTTGCACTCCATTCTTTTCTCTTACACATTTCTTTTTCCCCAAACTTCACTTTGGATATTTCCTGTTGACCTGTCTTCCAGTTCACTAACCAATCTCTTGGTAAGCCCATCCATTAAACTGTTAAGTTTACATATCATATTTTTAAGTTCCAGAATGCCCATGTGTTCTTTTTTATATGTTAGTATTTCATTTATTTATTTCATTTATTTATCTTTTCTTCCACTTTCTTTAAAATGTTAATAATAGTTGTTTGGAAATTGTTATCATCTTACATCAATAGCTGAATCAACTATAGGTTTATTTCTATGGTCTGTTTTTTCTCTTGAATATGGGTCATTTTTCCTTGCCTCTTTTTATGACTAGTAATTTTATA